TCATCTTTTTAAGTGGGAGAACTTGCACAATTGGTGGCTGACTAAATACTTTTTAGCCCCACTGTATGTACTTGCTCTAGATGTTCACCATGCATAGAAGACTTGCAAATGTTCACTCCGGTTATCAGGTCAAACATAAGTACCATGGTTTTTGATACTTTAATTTTCAGGTCCATATTTATTGTTGTACCGTACAATTTATCAGCAGTCGCTTACAAGTCATTCAGGTTCTTAGCATTATCTACATACATTCCAGTCCCCAACCAGCCTTCTAAAACATATTAAACAAGTCCCACAGATTCTCCATAAATGCCCCCCAGGTATACTATTTTATCGTTTCTCTAGCTAATGCCAACTACATTGGCCTCTTTACTACTTTTCTACATTCTCACAGCATTTTTAAAATATTGTTTGCCTTTATTTAATACAGCAAAGAAAAAAAAATAAGAATCAAAACAATGCAACAACAGAGTATATGTGTATTACCGTAGTCAAATGTGGGTTTCTCAAAGGAGTTATAAAATAGCTCCAGATTCTCTATGGAACTCCAATCTAAGATAAAAATCAATGGTCTTTTTTCATCTGCTTTTTCACTCTAAAAAGGTATGAGGCATGGATATCCTCTTCTCCTTTAATTTTTTATATTTCTTTAGAATTTTTAGTTGTGCTATTAGACAAGATTATAATATCCATAGATTTTTGCATAGTTCATTAGAAAATACATTGGTATTCTACGTGGATGATATTTTATCGCTTATCTCTGAAGGTCATACTTTGATTCTGGCTTTGATGTATTTGTTTGGGAGAACTGTGGAAATCTCTGCTAAATGGTCTGTCAGAACTGATGCCAAAAGGCAAAGGTGGTTTATTCATATAGTAAGTGATTATTATTTTTGTATATGTACTGAATTTATTAACTATTTAGGAATTTTTATCCCATGTCACATTTCTCAAATAATTACATTAAATATGAATAAGATACACAAAGAGGTTTCCTTGGACACTGATAGGTTTAAACCTTACCCTTGGAGTAGGGTAAACACTCTCAAAAATGGAGGTAAATCCCAGTATACTGTACATGATATTTTGCTGGAATTCTTATATTTTGAAAATATTTTCAAAAACTCATTACATTGTTGCAGTTCTGAAGATATCTTTGAAAAAGATGCAATTGTCATTAAAGATGGAGGTTTTGGTTTCCCAAATCTTGAATTGTACCATTCTGCAGACCTATTGACTACTACCAGATTTTGGACACCTTCACTTAGTATAGATTCAGCAGTGAGCTATGTCCTGTTCAATATCTCAGCATGTCTCCCCGTGTCATACTTACAAGAAAAGGCTAACTCTGCACTCCTGGGAAAGGTTGAATGCTAACCTCAAAGCAGCAGTTGCACCCCAACCCCGGGACACTCACCTGATGCCAGTACGAAAAGGTATGGCTACAGGCTGTGAGCAAGGCTGCCTCAACATCCATCCAGGTGCTGTTTGCTCTTAGAGAGGCTTTGACTTGGTCACTGATCATGAGGCACACCTGGCATCCATCAGCTGAAGCAGGCAGCAGGCCCTGAGGGCTCTCTGCAGAGGAGAAGCACAAAGTGATGGGCACAGGCTACTTATCTGCAGGGCATTGTGAAGCTTACCATGCCCCAAGAAAACCCCTTTTCAGCCTCAGCTTCCCCTGGAGAGATACCAGATACAGCAGCAAGTAACCTTTTCTCAAAACTGTCCCTCACATGAGAATTTTGTTGCAGGCATTGCAGGCAAACAGTGTTTCTCCTCTCAATTGAAGAAGCTGCTGTCTTCCTAAACCAGACAATACTGATTTCAGGGAAATAGAGTTCAAGGGTGATAGCAATGCCTAGCATGTCTCCATCTTTATATTGAAGACTGGCTTTTCTGGAGGCCAATGAATGTCTTATGCCATTAAAATATTTACATGCAACTAGATATGTTCCCATAGCTTCACTGAAGCTTCCACCTTCTCATATCTAGCACATTCACCAGGACTCAGGGAAGATAACTTGCTTGGAGGCCCAACAAGAAGAGGGAAATATGCTGACTCAAACAAGGCATTGGGGCATCTCCATTTTGGACAGTCAAGCCACTGCATGGACTTTCCTTGCTGAGACCCAGATGTCCCACCATTCTCCCTCCCCATGTTTGGGCATAGCCTCTTCTGTACTGGACTTATATTCTCATACTCATATTCTTATTCTCATATTCTATTAAATATTTACAGCTCAACTGTACCTGGACCACAGTTTTCCTCTGTAGCACACATGAACATCATTCCACATATCAGGCGTGGCCCCAGCTTGCTCACAATCATGTCCACAATGATCACAGTATATTTCTCCATCAGACACTGGCACATGCCAGCAATAGCTGCTGGCAGAACATGGCAGAGTTGGGACATGGTTTTGCCAATAGCAGCCTGGGGAAAGATGGGATATGTGAGTAAGGAGGTCAACAATCTGTCCCACCTCTCATTCAAGAAATCATGTGGGGCTTACTTGAAAGCTGCTGAACTTTGTAATTTGCAACAAAGAGATTCTTGAGATATTACCTAACTCTTTCACAATGTTTTATTTCATAGAATGGACAATGCTTTATTCATAAAATGTATGAATTATTTCCTCAACTGCGTAGAGTCCTAACGTGAATCAGACCAACATTCCCTCTTGTCCAGGGAATTTCTACTGTGGTTGACAGGTGAGTCCCGCTCTCTTGCAACTGGCATTCATCCTTCTGAGGCAACATTTACCCCTGCTAGCTGAGACCTTTCTCTGCCTCCTCCAACATTTTGTCCAACCCCCTTCAAAACTACCTACTGTAAGCTCTTGACTACTGCAAGCAATTCATGGTGAGTTGTGCAAAGTAGACTTCCTGTGATATCCTTTGAATCCCTTTGCATTAGATCCCCTCCAAGTCAAGTCACATCAAGCTAAGCTGCCAAGAGACAAGAAAACCAGGACAGTTGCCTTAGTTACACAGTATCAGAGATGTTTAGGGCCAGAGGCAGCCTTGGTGACTATCTAGACCAAAAAGCAGATTCTACAAACACATCATCTTCCCTTAATAAGGAACCACGCAGCCCCAGCTTGATATGCCTTTACAAAAAGCCAACCTGAACCACTCATGCCAGTAAAGCCAGCGGTTATGAACCCACTGCTTCAATTAGTCCCCTTCCCTGTGGAAAAAGGGCCACACCCCACTGCAATCCCTGGGAGGACCATTCCCTCCTGTCTTCCTTGCCAGTGGCTGTCTCTGCCAGTATTAATATATGCCCATTCTTTACGTGCTGCAGTCTTGCTGTCTTTCCCTCTCTTGGTGCTGACTTTTGCCACAGATGGAGGGCACAGCCTGATGTGTGCATTAACACAGAAAAACTAATTCCATACCTTGGGGATGACAGATTCAGCCTTGCCAATAAACGTCCTGCACAGCCAGCAGAGAGGCAGAGGGATGGGCAGCAGTTCCCAGGGGGGCTCCTAGCAAAAGAAGAGCCTGTAACTGGGAGTCTTCTCCTGTGGCTGGAGAACTCTCACGCCATATTGGAGTGGGTCTGCACGGCACCTTTGGCCAAGAGGTCAGAATGCCTCTGGTCCAGCACAGGGCATTGACCCTGCGGTGTTATTTTCCAGCAGCAAAATCCCTCCCTCTCCATTTCCTCATCACATGTACCCCATGGTGGAACCCTGATCTGATTTTTGCTCTTTTTTCATTCTACCTGCCTGTAACTCACTGTGCCTCTCAGTCTTTTAAACATAAAGTTTGGAGTTTAGAGTGGAAGGGCATCCTGCCCTTCCCTTTTTCCTGGCTTCCCCTCCCCTTTTCACCTACTGTACACTGCTGAGAAAGAACGGGCCCCACACACACTCTGCCCTTCTGGAACATGGCTCAGGCTTCACAGCCAGCCAGGCTTCCTTTCCAGCTGGCAGAAGCAGAGGAGAGCTGTTGGAACTTGGAAGCTGCCCTTACCTGCGTGCGGCCACTGGGCAGGATGAGATTCTCGCCTTGCAGCCATGGAAGGAGCTGTTCTAGCCCTGCAAGCAGGAACATAAAGGCATCCTTGCTCCCTGGTAGGTCTGCTGGACAGGCACTCAGCTGGGCACAGACAATGCTGGGGTCCTAGTGGGGAGAAAGAGTGAGGGCTATGGAATAGCCAGCAGCAGCAGCTGTGCTGTTGGCCTTTGGGGTGGAACCCCTAGAGAAGCTCTTTTGCATAAGCTCCACTGAAATCAGGAGTGGTGCAAGAGTTACAGAGAAAGCCTTCCCAGTACAGGATAGGTGGCTCTTGGCTGCTGCCAGACCTGGAACTCCCACCTAATATATACCTGTCTTGAAATAAGGCAGCCATCCATCCTCCCTGGCCCAGAGACTACCTTCTCTGGGAGTTTGTGGTCAAGACATCTGCCCATTCAGGGGTAATAGCTACTTACAAATTGTTTTTCCAGACTGGCAATTAAGCGGGCATAGTAGTCCTGTACCAAGGCCTGGCATTGTGGGATAAGTGTCTGGAGTGGCAAATTGGTACATTCATGCTCCAAATACTTCTGGAGAGTTTTCTGTTGAGAGATAAATAATGTGAAGAGGTTGGGACAAGAGTGAGATCCCCAGGGTCTCCTCTTCAGCTAGGAGCTGCTTAGACCACTAGGCTCTGCCCTGTGGCTCCAGCAGTTAGAAAAAACATTTATGCAACAAAAGAACAAATATACTGCACATCTGAGTCTGGAGAAACTTGAGGAGAATAGCAGACCCAAACAGTGTTGTTAGATTCCACCCATAGAGCTGGTAAATTAAGGCAATTCCTTTGTCACCTTAAAGGTTGATTCCTTGGCCATGCGCATGAGGATGGTGATAAGTTGTTTGCAGTCTGCACACATGTTCTCCTGGAAGAAAAGGTAATTCAAGAACTGAAGGTAGTTCCACCAGACATGGGTTCAGTGGCAGAAATCATCAATGCCTCTCATCCATAAATGTATGTCCTCTGAGAACCTCCTCCCCAAAGCCTCCACTCACCCCATCCCTAAGTATTTCCTCTTCCCTGAACTTCGCCATGGTGACTTTTGAGTCTTGGCAGTCAAGGAGACCAGTGGATTCCTGTTAGCCCTTCGAGGTAGTCCAGATAAGAAGCACAACCAGGAGCACTATCTTTATTGTATGGTTACATTAAACAGCATCTTGCTAGACTGAAAGTTTCTCCCCTCCTCTCTTTTTAGTTTCTGGAAAACTAAGGAGGATCCCTTCTGAAATGTTTCCCATGTTTTTCCCCCACCTGTGGACTGAGCTGCCTCTTATCAGACTGTTGCAGGTCTTCCTCCTGTCTCCCAAGGTCTTTCCCACATACTATCACAATACCTACATTGGCGATTCTCTTCCAGACACTCCTATTGGTGGCTTGATTCCATCCAGCCTGGACACAATGATCCAAAGCGCCACACTGGATAGCCGTCATTAGGTTGTTGCACCAGTATGCTGCCCCCTTGGTGCATTCATTCTGGACCTTGCTGGTTAGGACTGGGAAGAGAAGGAGAAGGCCAGGTTTTTATCAATGGTGTGCAGTGAGGACAGAAGAAACAGAATGCATCAAAACAGACCCTTAATTTTAGTCTGCCCTTCTGTTCAGAACAAGTGTATATTGTTTTCATAACAATTCTGTAAAATAGGTTAGATCGACTAGCGCAATAGATTGACTGGCTCAAGGTTGTGCAATTCATTTCATAGGAGACTAAGCTTTTGACCCAAAGTTCAACTACTCTTATTCCAGCACAGCAACAGCAGAATGACATGAGCAAATGACCCAGTTTCCAACTAATGATTTACAGTGTTTGCTCTTGTCGTTCTGCTGTTGCTGTGCTGGAATAACAGTAATGCAGATAGGCTTTATATCACTTTAATGATGGCTAGGAGATGGTATGAAGATGCTATAAGTCACTAGTGTCAAAATACCCTTGGTTCTAATCTAGTGTCTGACTACAACAACAAGCTGACATTTTAGCATTATAAAAAGATTTTTAGCCATGCTATCCTTACAGAAAAGAATCACAAGCTAGAATTAAGATTGCAGGGAGAAACATCAACAACCTCAGATATGCAGACAATACCACCCTAATGGCAGAAAGTGAAGAAGAACTAAAGAGCCTCTTGATGAGGGTGAAAGCAGAGAGTGCAC